TGGTTTCCAACAGTTCATCTGTCTCAGCTTTGTAGGTTAAGAAGNCTTGTTTCCCACGTCACCCGTCCACAGCCTACCGCAGTTTGACTAAATGATGAGAGGAATGACCTATTTTGTGCATTGCTCAGCACTGACTGGTTCTGTTCCTCATGCCCTAACCATAAACAACGATTTCAACAGTTCAAATTTTTCTAGTATAGAAATCTTTACCAATCAGCTTACAATTCAGTTTTTCTTGCTCTCTCTTCCCAAACGCCCACATATGTACTCCATAGAAAATGACCCTCGGAAACTCGCGTAGTCGAATGGAAAAGTAGCTTCCGTTCTTTTGTCGAGCCCAGCCAACAACAACCTAAAGAGGGAGGAGTGAAAAAGTGCTCTCTACTCTTGTTCATACAATCTCTCCCATTGATCGACAAACTTCAATTTCATGTAAGAGTTCCTTTCAAGACTGTGACAGGCTGCTCATCTCGGTTTGTAGGAGCACTTTCTGTTGCTTACACTGGCCTGAGGAAGAGTCAACCCGTTGATTTGGTATTGGTTCACCATGAAGGTAACCTAGCAGTCACCCCCGTGAAGTCGCAACGGCTGGAGTTGTTTGAGAGTATGGGCAGCACCACAACCACCTGCAGCTCGAGGGGTCACTTCGATGTCCAGTCATCATAAAAAGGTTTGGGAACAGCTGAAGTTCGAGACCAACCGGAGATCTTAAGGATAATCGCCCCTACACGGTACTTGTGTACTGCCCGATTACCGTACCGTTGCATACATAGTAAGCGAACAGCAACCAGAGTCCTTGAGAGCGATCGATGAATATTTGTTGTGAGTTGGACGACAAGGAGGAATATTTCCGATGCTCCTCTGTTTGTTGGGGGAAGAAAATGAGAAATGCCGTGAGATAGTCATGTGACCGGTCGTTGTGGTCTAAGAAGGGCGTGAATCAGCATCGTTCACGTCGTACATCGAACGACAATGCGGCTTAGCCGACACGTTTAAAATCTTTTCCAAAGTTGTTTCTCTGTTTTCTGCATGATTCATCTTTTTGCACTTTTTCCTATTCATTCCGTCCTCCTCCTCTACGGCCATCGACCGTAGTGTGTTGATTGAACGTGCCAGTGTCTATGAACACTGGCGATGGCAACTTGCCGCGACCGATTCCGTTGACTGAAGGTTCTCTCTTGACCTTGGCCGTTTCCCTCCTTTGGCGTTCTTTTACCTAACGCGGGCTTTCGGCCCGGTTTCGTGGCGTTTTGCTAAACCTGCTAACTTGTCCGATAGTTATGAGTTCGTTCTTTTTCCGATTCATTGCGTTCTCGCGGAATCCTCGAAATTTTTATGGTTTCCATGCTAACGGTAACATTTTCAGAGTTATGGGCTCAGAGCAAGGAGGTTGCGTAGCTCGAGGATGTCAAATCAACGTTGTGACACGAGGAGGTAATTTGTCTTTTGAGTGTGTTTCTCCTTTGATGAGTACTTTACTTTTTTTTCAAAAAACACTGATCACTAATTCATCTTGTACAAGAGCAATTTTTCCGTGAAATCAAATCTTTTTGACTCTTTTCTTGAAGAACTATGAACCCTAGCATTTCTTTTTACGCTGTGAGAGTCTATGACAGTGATACTCCACCAGAAAACTTAATTTGATTAGAGCCTTATGCCAATGTTGTCGACATTTTTTGTCGGTCTCTGGTGGTCGTTTTTGTTCATTAAGGCCGTCAAAAAGGCTTTCGAGGCTTCGAAAAGTTGGATGGCAGAGAAATGGAAGTTATACATGAATCAGAATAAGTATAATAAATAANTGTTATTTTTGTAACTCTGTTCTTTCGCCGCAAAACGCAATCCAAACGTCTCCCAAGGATGACGAGTTATAGGCAAAACAACCTCCAAACTACCAACTTTATACTCCTATTTTGCGAGGATGGCAGTTCTGCTCACAACACGCCAGCCTTGCAAAATGCGAGTCATTACAAGGTTGTCGAATAGGTAGCTTTCTGACTTCGGAGTCGGACAGTATTAAAACCAATACTTATACTTACTGGGCACGACTGTATGTACTCGTAGTCTCTGCACTACGAGGGTTTGCCCTCAGTTTCTCAGCCTTAGTTTACAAGCACTTCCCCATGATAAGCTGATCAAGCGATATCGGCATCGAACCGTGAAATTGCTGTATATCACTTTATTTTGCTTGATGTTTTCCTTTGTGATAGCTGAGGCTCGCTAGTGCAAGAGTGAAAGAGTAAGGTGCCGGGAAAGCAACACAAGCACGGGTCTGGGTTCCGCTTCCGGGGGTTTAGCCCTCATAACTGAGCAATTTTGTGGGGATTTTCGCTTCGCCAACTGACGTAAACAACATTCTATCAAAAAATAGCACTGTCTCAGGATATGTCAGGGTATGCCTAGAGGGGTTATTGCAAAAAACTCAGAACAGAAGTCTAAAAAATGAAAAGGAAAAAATGAAAAAAATGGAAAAATAGGAAGAGTCTAAACAATCCATAGGATAAACAGAAGACATGAATGTCCCATATCCAAAGTGCTGGAGCAAGACTAAAAGAGGTAATCGAAGAATCTAATGTACAGATGTAGAGAGAATGTTACATGGAAACAAAAGAAATCTTTATAAAATTGAGTATTTCTAGAAAACGGTGCCACTGCTGCTAACCGACATGGAGGCAGTGATGAGTGAGTCGTTTTATTCGCCTTATAGCTGCATTCTTAGATGAAACTATTGAACTTTCTCAATTGCTTTAATTTTCTTCGTAGCGAAGATAGGTATGCTACCATTTAGAAGTTTTTTCAAAAAAAAGAATCAGGTCACCCATTTATTAACTTCCCGCCGATGACTGAAGTGAGGCAGCTGTCGACGATACATCCACAACTTTTATTTGCTATAACAAATAGTAGAGTAGGGTCATGTTGATCACTCGTGTCAAATCGTGAATTGAAATCTACTCAACCTGTCAAGCCTTTCTCTGCTTTCTGGTACCTGCTGTAGGTCAACCTGTACGCAAAGCTAGAATGGTTCCTAAATTGAAGGAGAAACTGTTTTCCTATGAAGAAACCCTTATCGGTGAGCTCCTTGGGTAAGAAGAACGAGCATGACGTCCTGTGAAAGAGAAAGAGCAGAAGGGGTCGGAAATTCTGGATGCGAGTTTATTCTTCACAAAAAGGGCACGAAAAGTCGCAGAAAGCAGTTCGAATGTTTAGATCCACCTTGTTGATACATTGCGTCAGCTTTGCCCATGCTACTGTACCTGTCATGGTTTATTATGAATTATTGCGATCCTGCCGAAAGGAGGACACGTCTTTTCGGAGGCGGGGCCGTCTAAAGTGGGCGTTGCTCCTGAATTTTGATTCCCAATCAAACTAATTTTGTGATAGGCTGGTTTTCACCACCACAGCACTATACCTGGTCTCCTCCAGCTGCTAAGCACTTCTTATGCAGTTCTTCTGTACCGCTTGAATTGTCATGAATGACGTACGCAAGGTTCCTGTATCAGAGCGAGCTCAAACTGACTTTATAATTCTTTCATAGCTTAGCACTGAAGCTCAGACTGTGCTTCTCCCAACACAACTATCCCTTTCCAGAGAAAATGCATATCCCAATAATCGCTCACAGGAAAAAGGCTGCTCTATCTACCCGTGTTTTCGAACTGTTACCCACAATACGAACTATATGTCCCACTATTTGGTTTGTTGGCTTGCTATTGTTGCTGTTGAGTTGTTTTCGAATCGTTGAAGAGGACTAGACGTCAATCTTGAGATGGATAGGCATTTACGAGAATAAATTCATAAGTTAATAACGCATTCAAATACTTCTGTAATTTTGCATGATAGCTGGATACTTTCAAAAGGCGGTGCGTGCGATAAAGATGGTTTGTGAGATATCCCTCTAGGATGAATCTGTGGACCCATAGTGTACTATATGTGATAGTTTAAGATCGGAAAACGGCCTAAATAAGGCGTTGAAAGAGTTCAAAGATTGTATCGTCTGTATACCACACCCAAAGGCGTACGAGTCTTAATGGCGTTTAGAGGCCGAGCCATCCACAAGGTCACCCATGATCCAATTCAAACGTAATAATGATCGTAATAATGACCCATGGCTGCGGAGGACGTTTTGGGAATTTTCTATTAAAGCAGTCAAATTTTTACGCTCTTGCTGCCAGTGAAATCTCGTCCGAATAACTTACCGTGCCACTTCGCAACCTCTACTTTTATCATTTCACTACTCTGGGAAGCCTTATTTTTCGCGAAATCGGTAGATTTTCTCGCTTTCTTTGCCAACGCTGTACTTTCTCCACCAACGCATCTGCTTTTCAACGTGAAAATGGCACCTTGAAACTCTCGCGAACTGTGCTTATGAGCATAAAAAGGATAAAGGATAAAGTTTTTGACGTTAATCAATCCCGTCTGAGGGATGCGCCCCCGCACTCGACTTCCATTCAGAATCGTAGTGGCGTAATGAGTGCGTATGTGGCCTATACAATGACTTGCGGTGGCCAGC